CAGGCTGGCGGCTCTTGTGTCACAGCCCAGGCAGACCTACCAAACAGATTTACACGCCCAAATGAACAGCTGAAAACACCCAGCTGAGCTGTTGACCAGAAAATGGATCAACAGGAAGTAACTAAATAAAAACAAAACATGTTATTTGAAGTCCTGTGAGGTATTGTCCTGAACTAACTCTTATCATGTCTAAGTGCTGAACCGTTGTTTTGGGTAGTCTGAAGCCTGAGGTACTGGGGAGCAAAGACTCCAACCTTTCTGAACTGCCAGAGGAGCTCATCCACTGGGGTGGCTGTGCCCACTGTCCCCATCCATGCCTGACATGGAGAGCTTTATCCCTTCCTTCTTTTTTTTTTGGCAGATCACTCTTTTGTTTATGCACTTCCCCAGTTTACCAGCACCCTTGGTGTTGTTTCCCTTCACCTGACTCCAGGGAGGAGTTTTGCCAGGCTCTTTGCTAAAGTAAAGGTAGTTACAGATACTCATGAAGCTCCATCCATCCCTGGGGGTTTGCTGAGGAGGGGGCCCTGATTTTGGCCTTTTGACTCTGGCTTGGTCTCTTTTATGTGATTTGGGATGCTCTGTGAGATGTACATTTGGGACCTGCCATAGCAGGAAGGTGAGGATGCTTTCTTCACCAAACAAGGGCCTCTGGAGGCTGCTTGGGATGTCCTCAGCCTTTCTGCACATACAGCACCATTGCAGGAAAGCAGGTGTCTCTGAGCCACCCTCACAGGAGACCTCGAGGCTACACAGGAGGCCCCAGCCTCCTGAGATGATTCAGATAGCTGTTCACATATGCATGCACAGGAAACACGCCCTGAAGGATGCGAGGTTATACGCACCCTACAAGCTACCAGCAATAGTCTCCACCAGCAGCACCTACATACCAAGCGATGCTCTCCCTTTTCTGCAAAACCAGAGAGGTCAGCAATCCTTGATCCCCGGCAGGGCAAGGCCTGTCAAGCCCGCTGTCTCTCTGTGCGGGGAGAGTCAGGGAGGCAGGGAGCAGCTGAGCTTTAGCAGGCTCCATGCTTCCCCCTGGGCGGCAGGAATCTCGCACCCCCCACCAAGCCCTGCAGCTCACCGCTCACGCCACAACCAGCCGTGACAGCCACCGTGCTTAGACTGCGCAGCCGCCTCTCCCTGTGGCCTAAACCCCTCCCTGCCTGAGCTCAAGGAGCTGGTTTGTGCCTGGTGGAAAGTCCCCAGGACAGCGCTAGGCCCCTGCAGAGCACCTTCCCCAGCCCTCAGCAGCAAAAAGGCTCCGTCACCTAATATTTCCCTCTCCAACTGGAACTACGGTCCAAAAAAAAAAAAAGCCAAGCAGGGAGAGAAGGCAATACCTGGTGAGGAGGAGGCCCCCAGTCCTACCCGGAAGAGTCACCTTCCTGAGAAGTGTGGGGAAGTGGCGTGGGAGAGGACGGGGTGCACTGCCGGGGCGGGGGGTGCACACAGGGGCTGCCGGCAGCGCCTCTTCCCCAGAGCTGCCTCCCGAGTTGTGTCTCTCTGCTAATGAAGGAACTGTTTGTGCCTGGGCAAAGGCCGCAGCCAGCATTGGCACCTTTCCCAGCAGAGCTGGGCAGCCACACGTTGACACGGCCGGAGCCATGCCCTTCTCTGCCTGCCGGTAACTTTTTTCCTTGGTGATTTCCCCAGTGTGCTCCAGGGGAGGCTCAAGAGGCCTCACTGTCCTGCACAGAATATATTGTCTTTTTTCCCCCTCTTATAAATAAGTAATTATGTTCTGAATGTTTCTGAAGCTGCCTTAAGATTGCCACAGTGCTTGAGCAGCTGTGCTAGCAGTTGGTATGGCAATAACACAGCATGTCTGTGGGCCTGGTCATTTCAGTCATCACAGGTCGGTGAAGAATGAGTCCCTGCTACCACAAATGCCTGAGGAGCACATCCAGGCAGGACTGTTCAGGTTAACCTTTTTCAGCAGAAAAAACAGAAGTTTGTCACAAACAAACCTGTCTGCAAGATCACTAGGATGAAATTGCACACCGGGGTTCCTTGGCTCCAGGGCATTTTGGCTAATATTTGACAACCTGAGCATTCATCCCTGCATCAGGACAGTGTTTGCAGACCATTCCCCTCCAGCCCTGCCAAAGAGCATTTGCCATGGATCTTCCAAGCAGGTGCCTTTTCTTTGTAGCCATTTAAATGCAGACTATCAGCCACCCAAAGGGCATCTGTACATACAGCAACAGCATGCACAATGCGCCACCAGCTGTTCTCTCCTCCCTGTCTAGCTGTGTTCTCGAATGGTAAAACTAAAGCCAAGATATATTACTTGATATGTAATCACTAACTTTTTTAGATGCATAATTTTTAGGTTGGTTTTTTTTCCCTTTAACAGTGAAAGGAACAAGGAAAAATTCTGCCAAAATTATAGTATAGCTTGTTTTTTCAGTGTTCTGAAAAAAGGGTATTGAGTAAGACAGGAGACGAGGCAGAAGAACGGAGAAGGTTTGCTTGCTTAGAAATTGTTGATGGACGTGGTGTATTGATTATAAAATGGACACTATTCTGTGTCATTGCAGGATATCTGCAGTATCTTTGGAAAGGATCCTTTCACATATGGAAATCTCCTTCAAATATAGAGGTCACAGTTCCAGCTAAGATTAAAATTGCCTGATATTTCTCCTGAGATTCTACTTCACATTGCTTATAACTTCACTAAATTTTAATTATTTGGATTGAAATTTTCTGTGTTGGATGCTTGTACAAGGTTGAATGTTCCAGGGAATTCCCAGTGTGTCTCTTCCAGAGAATGAGACTCAGAAAGTGCAAGATGGTTTGGGATACCAACTCTTACAGTAATTTCATTGAGAAACTCTTACTCTTCCATAGGCTAAAGTATATTGGAAGGGTGAACACACTGTGTTTTGCTAAAGTGCCCATAACTAAGGTACACCGTATTTTAGGATGAAGAAAAAGCCTTGTTTGTCCTTTCTGTGTAATCTAGATGTGTGACTTCCTACCACAAATGGTTTTTTATCCGTGTAGGCATCTATAAAGGGAAACAATTTCAACTCTTTAGTGCTGCCATTGTTTTTTTTACCTCTGCTCTTCCGTAAAATGAACAGCACAATATAGAGCCTCTTTGGTCTAACTTGCAGAGCCCTGATTAACTGAAGATCAGCCATTCTGTACTGAGGCCTTCAAGATATGAGAAGCTTTTTGCTAAAGATGTTGGTTCTCGCTTGTGAAAGATGGGAAGAAGCACAAGGACAGACAAGCAGCTCTGCATAACAGCCCAACTGCCAAAGACACCCTGGATATTTGTGTATATATTCTTCACCGTATTGTGCAAAGCATGTAATTTTGAACTAACAAATAATTGGCTAAATAGTATTCCATCATTCACCTCTTCTTATTTCGAGGATACTCCTGGCGAAATCTGCGATAGTGGCTATTGTATCCTTTGACTGAGTACAAGTCATGATTTGGTCACTCAGGAAGGGAGTGCCAGCCTTCTGGCATAGAACACACAGAGAACCCAGATCGTACTTGGGGCTGTTTCTGAACAATGACTGGCAGCAGTATCCCAGCACACCACCAACCCAGCTCGAGCAGTGCTTAAGAAAGTGTTTCCTTTTACCTTAGCATTCCCTTTGCTTTGTGTATCCTCTTGAATAGAGCAGTAACAGTAAGCAGAAATGACCTCTGTGAACACAGCAGTGCTGACTGATTTCTGATCTTATGAATGACGTGGACCCTTTCTCTGCCACTTCTTTAACCAGGTCAAAAATCGAGTCAAGCACCAGTGTCCACAGCAAGTTATCATTTCAGCAAAGAGGTTAAGCTGCTCCTCATTTTGCTGTTTTCCCATGTTATTTACTTACTTCTTGGGGAATTCTCACAATACGAGGAAGATACCAGCAGTACTGACATTCCTACGAAAAGCTTTGTGAAAATATTTACTGAGATTGCCCATTTATCACTGGGGGGGTTTTGCTATGTTAATGACCACCTCAGTCAAAATCGCTTTTCATTTATCACTGGCAGTAAGACTGTGGAGAGAATCTTCACAAGGATTACCCCTTGGTGCTGTTTCTTCTTATTCTTGTACAAGTCAGTTCATCTCCACATGGAACATTATGAGGCAACGTTAATAACTAAATGCTTGTGAGCACTCCAGGGGTGGATCCTACTCATCTTCAACAAACACACAAGCAGTATCCAATCCTGTGTGCTAGACAGGAATGCAGAGATAGAAGAGTTAGTTTGTCACCAAATGAGATATTCTCCATTACTTCTGATTATTCATAAACCTAGGTTAGTAATTATTTGAAATAGCTGGTTTTGTGTACAAACCTCTCTGCAATCATTTATATGTATCAGTCATATGAAAAAAAGGATACTTCCCCATTTGAGGTACATACTTTTTAGGCTTGATTTTTCTCAGCTTGACTGAACTCAGTGCTCTTGAAATCAGTATATCAGGGATGACTCAAATTTCTCAACTTTAACAAACAAATATTTGAACCATTCACTATGGTTACTTTCAGGGAGGAACCTGAATCACCTGGCAAGGACATACAAAGCCGTTAAAACACGAATGATGAAGCCAAGTGATGGGTGTAGCTTGATCAGAAAATGTAGGATTAATAAAATATGCATGGATAATTGAGTAATTTGCACTAATTTAAAATTTAAGGGAAGTGGAAAATAGGTTACTGAGAAGGGCTGAGGGGACAAATCACAAGGAATAGGGCTATAAATTGCTGCAGTTCTCATTTTCCTTGCACTCTCTGCTCACTCCAGTTCCTGAGTAAGGAAGTTACCGTTTGGTTTCATATCCACTGAACACCAAGTGGTTACAAGTTACATTGTTTTGTCACTCCTATAGTCACCTACTCTCTTCTGATCAACTCATACCCATTGTAGAATATCTGCAGCTATTTTTGTCACTACTGAATGTGCCTTAGGGACTACTGCTCCAGCCCGCGTATACAAATAAAGGCAAAAAAGAACCATATTCTTCCTGCAACTGAAATGAAAAACATGACACATTTTTAATGCACATTTTGTCATAGTCATCATCTAACACATTACCCAAACCTTCGTTTACACATGCACACGTAGACAGGGGAAAGACACACACATGATACTTTCCAGCCTAAACCATGGGATCTCTGTGGAATACCGAAGCACCAGCCCAGCTCCTACAAGGGAGCATGTACCAAACCAAGAGTTGGTGATAGGAATTCATTACATTTCATTAAGGTGTAAAGATTAAATAACATGTGCTTGACTTTATTCTTGCACATAATTGCAGATAAGTACACATTAAAAAAAACATTAACATATATTGTATTAGATCCACATATTCTGGGCAAACAAACTCATTCCTGTGAGTACATACTCCCCCATGTTATCAAAAGGCATACTCCACCTGCTACAGAATCTTGTACAAAATTATTAGGTTACCAGTAGATAGATGTGCTTTAATCTTTCTTCATGAGAGATATAACAATGCAGATACTGCTTCACTGCATTTACTGGATTTTTTTCTGATAGAATGAACTCGTCCTTCTGTCAACACTGATTTTTTTTTTTTTAATCTTTGAGTTTCATTTCTCCCCTATGAATCTGTTCTGGGATTCAGACAAGCATCTTTAAAATCTCTGTAAATGGCATACACTCCTTTTTGCAGCCACAAATGCCCTTCTGGCATCATGCCTCCATGGCACAAGTGACCTCACCTTTTTATAAGCCCTCGCAAAAGGCACCCACAGGCCTTGCATGGTGCTGAGCCCAATGCTGTGGAGGCTTCCTAAGTGACTGTACCCGAGGAGTTGGTAAAAATAAGCTGTGAAAGACACAGGAGAATGCCAAGAAGTCCTCCACTCCATCCCTGAGCTGGGATGTCAGACCATCTTCTGTTCCCACAGATCCATTACACAAAAACCCTCAGCCTTCAGGCAGGATTCACCCCCTTGTTCAGGCATTCAGGGTACCAACCTTTAACAGACTGTGTATCTTTTGAATAGTTTTTTTTCTTTTCTACTTAGTTATTTAAACTATGGAAAATTGCACAAATAAACTGAAGTGAGCCGTTAAAGCAGAAAAGACATCTTTTCACATAGTTTTAAAATACAGATTCAAAATATCAAACACATTTACTTACTATTTTCCCTTAGTTATCATTAAACTAATGATAATTGTTCTCAATCCCAGATTTAACCCAGAGTAAGTCCTTAACAAACTGCAAGACTGTCTACTAAAATATGATATAAAATTTGGGACAAAAACATTTGTCCTTGTGCAATAGTGACCAGCAGTTAAGACAGATAAGAATTCTAATCCAGTATCTCATAAAACCATTATGTAACTTGAGAGATATTGATCAGCACAATAAATTTGCACTAAGATAGAGAAGACAAATACAAACCTAAAAGAACTTAAGGACTCAGGTAAGAAACTATGAAAAGTGATTCTTTTTATGAGCAAAGAAAGGGAAATACGCCCCACAAGAACAGAAGTATTTGTTCCCAAACTCAGTGCTGTCTTGCGAGAGGATTTAGGTAATCCATGATTATTTAAGTGAAAGAAAACAAGTCACCCTGTCTATGCTACATTTATAATGTATGACTAGTGTTAAACATATTTTTGTCCATATCGAAAAAACAAGCAAACAGAAATGCTAGATACATATCGACACATGCTATTTCCTTTTTTACAGTAATATGCTTCCTCAGGTTAAAGAACAGGATACCCCAAGGCATCCTCTAAACTCTTCATGCATAAAACCACAAAAGGTGTACTTGTAGATCAATAAACTTTTTCTCTCCAGTGAAAAAAGTAACCTCATTAGTTCAGGGAAATTCAGGTCTCATTTGAATCATAGACCAAATACCAGCTGACTTCAGTCACAGGAGGAACTCAAGCTACACTGTGTTTTAGAATCATTGAATTGTAGTCTGTAAGCATTGCTCAGTCATTGTGCATTTAAATTTTGGGGTTTTTTTCTTTACCTTATAAATACCAATTACAGATGACCAGGTCCTGAGTTTGTCAAGGCAAATAAACACAGAGCATGCATTGACTGTTCTTAGCAGGGCAATCCTCAAATCAGTTATTCAATTGTCCTTTAGTACCTTGTTCGAAATAGACTGTACTGTCCCCAGCACTCAAGACTAAGGACTTTAAGATAGGACCTTGTACTAATAAAAGAGGGAGTATCTGTGTGTAAGAACCTCAAAATAATGCAATTACTTGGAGCTCTGTGTGGGGGCAGGGTGGCTGTAATGTCAGACAGTACCAGTTTAACTCCTTGTGAGGTGTATTGCATGACATTTTCTTTTTTAGCATGGATAAATCCTTGATTAAGGCAGGGCATGCAGGGTTTGGCAACAGATCCTGCAGATATGGAGAGCTGTTCTGCCCTGGGAAGTGGAGGGGGATCTGAAAGCAGTGGAAGAATACTAGGTCTGCTCTTCAGCAAAATAAAAAGCCACAGCATGTGAGTAATCCTATCTTTAGTCATCAAAGTACATATTCAAGTTGTTGCCTGAATAATGATGCGATTACTCACCCGGGTAAGGTTAAGCACATGCTTTTGCTGAACTAATATATCTGGACAGAAGCCATAGCATTCTATGCAGTTCTCTTTGGAGGTTTTCTCTGCAAATACCAGAACACCCACAGAACTGAAGGGAGCATAGAGATTCCCTTCTGCTTTACATGTAATTATCACACAGAAACTCCTCAAACTTAAACTTACTGATTTTTGCTTGCTTCAAAGCATGTTAGTCCTCATATAGGCTATGATTTTGTCCTAATACCAGGAACAAAATGCTATTTGACACTGTAGGACAGCGCAGTGAAGAAAAGAGTATTTTCTAGGGGAATATAAACCATTATTACAATTTCAGAAGTTATTGAAACTATTATGACTATGCAGAAATAACTGAAAAATGTGACCGTTAAGCTCTACAGCATATAGAATATTTATCTACAGCAATAAAGATGTCTTATTTTGAGGTACATGGCAAAGAAGTAAACAAGGAAGACTTGTTTTGATGAGATTGTACCAGCTAGCGTGCGAGTAGGTACCTAAGATGAGAAAAAATCCAATTTCAAACCAGGGATGACAGGGTTCACACAGCCCGGGCAAGAGAGGGCTGTCTGAACCTGGACACGCAGAAGGTTCATGGGCTGCTCCCCTCAAATCAAGGGTGGCCAAGTGAAGAGAATACAGATCCTCAGGCAAGGAAGAAACCCCCAGGGCTGGAGGTAGACTGCAAAATGGGAGGTGGGTCAGAAAGCCATAAAAGTAGCAGCCAGGATGGTGCATTCCTACCTACCAGTTTTCCATGGCCCACAGTCATAAGGCAAAATCACTGCACCAGAAAGTAAGTGTTGATGCACACATAAGGTGTAGCAACAGTGGGACATTTACAGACACTTTGACTAACACTACTGGAGTAACTGGTAGCTCTTCTACTGATCACTGTCCTCAACCTATCATTTTTTAAATTATATTTTTCTAACTGATTTTGTGTGGTATAGAGAAAAAATGAGCTACTGACAGCTGATCTATGGGAAAAATGGTGTGTGGATACCGTGTCTACTAAACATTCATTAATGACGAAGTCCACCTCTGTGCAGAGAGCCTGAATAAGACTCATATGCCATTTATTCTTTTTCACTGACGACTGACAAGGCATTGATGGAGGCATTTGACAAAGTTGCTGGTGTGGCTCTTAAAAGTTATGAAAGGTCTGATGCTAGATCTGAGCTGAAATAAATGAGAAGGGGAGCACAGAAATAACAGTCTGGAATGAATATGACTTTCAAAGGCATCAGACATTTTAGTTTTAGCTAAACTAAAAAGAACTTAGTAAGACAGCGGTAGATCCAGTGAACGTTTTTTTCTAAACCACTAATAAAAATACATTTGCCATTCAACAGAATGAATATACAAACTATTTGCACATTTTGCAAACTTAGTACTATTTTTTCACTCAGAAGCTGTTCTACAGAATACTTTTCCTTTGTTAGCAATGGCACCTTTTCTAGTAGAAAACTTAAAAAAAAAAAAAAGAATAAAGTAGTTTAACTTTAAAATTATTAATATGACTTGGTGCAATGTTAAGGCTTCTCTCTTGAATTATAACTGTTTATCATGTTTTGTAGTCTCAAGACTGTAACTGTCAGTTGCAACAGGATGAAAGCAGCCAGGGCACTTCATGGTGGATTTACAAATGTAACTGCAGAAAATGTGAAGCAAAGAACCAGCATGTTTTTTTACATATGTGTAATCAGGTAAGTTCCAACATTTAGAGTAATCATTCCCACTGGTCACAGCAAGTCAGATAGGTTTTCTAAAGTCTGGGTAAGTTTGACAAGGGATCAAGAAATCCTATCAAATTTTCTGCAGTGCCTCAGTCATGTGGAAAAGGTTTTATATACTTGCTCTATTGAAAAGGCAAAGCTGGATACAAAGTAAAAGGCACAGATATTATAGAACAGTCACATTACTTGAATAAAAAGATCTTATAAATTAGATAATGATTAAAATTGGGAACAGTCATTTTGCTGTTGCTTTATTTCTCAGTGCTGACTTTCTTGACCAAACATCTCTATCTTTTCTAATGCTGCACCACTGTGTGCTGGAGGAATCTTTCCTGAACAGCTTTTCTTGTTTCTTCCCAGTTCTGTAGCTTCCACCAAAGTATTAGTCAATGGCTTTCCCAGTGTTTCTGGAAGCATTACTGTTAATATTCCACTCAGAAGAGCCATGATTCCAACAAGCAACTAGAAGAAATAAACAATAGCTGTAAAGGTAGAAATGTCTTTCAAGTTATGCATATCTTTGATCTTGCTTGATAGTACATTTAAAACAAAGCACAAGGAACTGTAATGTAAAGCAAAGATCCTAAGTCTTAAATGTTGACCGTATAGAAGATCTGCCTTTTTTGTTGCATAAATGAAAGATTATACAGCAGAATTAATGAAGAGCAAGTAAAGCATTTTGTTCACAAGGGATCAATACAGTGCAGGTAGGAATAATCCTGAGGAAATACATATATCTTTATTCAGTATTTCTACTATCAGGTATGTGTTTAAGAACTGATTCTAGGATTGCATACATTTATTTTTACATGCATGTTCATTGAGCTACAATTTCCCTGCCACCTGTAATCTCAATTCACACTCCAGTTCCTGAAGCTATTCCCCCTGTACCTGTGTGCCTGTTCCTCCTGCATGCAGCCAAATCAGAATTTCTCAGTAAGGCTTGTTGGCCTGGAGCCACAGAAGTGCACATCCCTGCTCAGGAGAGCTCTTCAGCAGATAATGAGCTAGCTCTCAAAAGCAGTACTTTGCTAAACTCAGCCTCAAAGAGCTATCAGGGGTGCAGGCATCTACTGACATTTGCACCGGGATGACATCTTGGATTTGTCCATGATGTATATAGTTCCATGACAGCTTACTTCAGTATGAGTCGTACAGGTAGATGCAGAAGCACATACAAGCTCCAGGAGTATCTTTTTTTTCCCCTTCATTTCTGTGCCTTGTTTAATGAGAACAATTTACACTTTCCTCCTCTGAAGTCCAGAACAGCATTAAAGCCCTGACATTCTTCCAATACCCAAATCTGTCTTGATGGAAAAGATTCCACACAGTACATCATGCCTGGCCTCAGTGTTTTTCCATTTTATGACTGTGCACTTTGATAACGTATTATCCTTATCTTGCCCTGTGCTGATTCTCAAGTCTGTCTTGTTTGTTTAATACTTTCTTGCCAAGTGTGAGAGAGAACATTTGGAATTACCACGCCTATGTCTCTCACTCAGAGCTTGCGCCAAGAACTGGCCAGCTACCATCTGCAGCTAAGCCAGACTTTCTCTTTAAGTCAGAAAGGTGCTTTAAAATTGGAATTCTCCACTGTAACCTTGAACGGTGCTATTTTCATGCATATGCACCATGCTGGTTTTGCTTTCTTTCCCCTCCAAAAGAAAAGAACAGCTTGTCCCAAGCACTTTTTTGAGAAGCAGAATTCGCACTGTTGCATACACTTTTTTTGTACTTGTATTAAATATAGAGGCTGACAAAATAAAAAATTAAGCAAAATACTGTTGAATACGACAAACTACAGTGAAAATAAAATAGCTATGCTCTTACCATGAAAAATTTTAAAAAATTCCTAGCAGTACAGAGTGACAAACTGAGGGAAATCTGTGTAGACATATGTATGTGGCAGGAGAGATATTTTAAAATATTTTCCAAAATATTAAAGTCTCACTTCTGAGTGTCAAAACTCTTCTCCACTATTAAAACATGATTTTCTGCCATGGCAGGACAGGATATATTGACACACAGCTGCTATTCCACAGTAACCTCTCTTATGCACATCCTTTAGGCTGTCATAAATTTATATTTGAGAATATCAAAGGCTGTGAAGGATACTGAAGCTTATGGATACCCATACATTTGGCATCTATGAGAACAGGGTCACTACTGATGCGCCACAGAACAAGGTTAAAGCAGCACTGTGTGCTTTGAGTATGTGTGTCTTTGTTTCGGTTAGACATTTAGACACTTTGCATTCTTCTCATGTTTCCCTTCCTCATGAACCTTCCTCTTATTCCCCTGCAAACTCTCACTATTCTGTAAGCGTACAAACCACCATCTTTCCTGCCTTTTCATTTCAGCTCTCTTAACTTTATTCCATCATGTGTTAGTTTTCTTTTTTAAAATGTGAAAGCTGCTGAATGATGACTAATTCAGTATGTTTCCCTTCTCTCTGACCCTACAAAGCATCTTCCAGTACTTCCTATGAAAAATAGAATACGAAACAATTACATCACAGTATATTAACGAAAGGACTTCTCAAAAGTCATCTACCTTTTCAGGGGCAGTCACCACACTTATCAATGACATTGCTCATATTTAATCAAAGCAGGTCTTTTTCAGTCTTATCTTTGCATACTTCTTCATGAGGCATCTAATATAATTTAGCCCTTTGCTTGCTCATAAAAAATGTGTACATTCTGTATGTATGTACAATTTTACATATATAACTCAGCATCAGAAAATGTTCTTCTGATATAGTCAATGAGTTAAATGCTTATGGATTAAAGTGTACTGTTGTACAAAATATTTAAGTATGTTTAAGCTCCACTGAAGTTATTCTGACAGAAGTACCTGATTAAATTCACTGCTTTTTCAAGGTCTTAATTTGAAATCTGACTTTCTGCTTAGTCAAACTCTCAAAGTATTCCCAACACTTCAGTGGAACCAGCAGCTTCTAACAGCTACCACAAAGAACTTCCAAAAAAGATTTACCACCATTTTTCATATGTCCTTCTTCCTACCTGGAGCAACAATTTTAATTTCACAATGGTCTAAGACCAGGACTTAATATATTTAGCCTAGAACAAAAGATAATTTAAATTAAATAACCCTACAAAATAATACTTTTACTTCCGAGAACAAATGATTATTCTAGTCTGCTGTTTATATATATATCTCCACATCTGATATCTCTGAACCAACCTAAAATGTGATCTTACAAAATCCCTACTTAAACAAAAAAAAGGTTAATTTTTGTTCTGAAAATCCAGAAGTATTAGACACAGGATTTGCATTCATTTAACTTTACTGACCTCAGTGGAGTTTTTTTTTCATTTATAGTTTATGGCTTATCTGAGAGAAAAATCAAGTCTCTTAAAAAGCTGCTGTAACATAATTCTTAGCAGTTGAGAAACAGAAATAGGTTGCACATGGAGCAGTGGCTTTACTATAAGTTTCATAAAAAGCTGTCACATGAAAAACATGCTTGGCAAATTATTCAATTTATAGGCATTCAAATGAGGTGTTTGCATTACTCACAGGTGGTGTAACTGTGCATGAGGCAGACTGTCAAACAAACAGCAGTAGTAACTGCTCAACAGTGTGTGGTATATACAATAGAACAACATGATGTATATCAGTTTACTTACAAATGTAATCCATTTAATTTCATTTCCATTCCAAAACACCTAGGTGACCTAAGACCTGTCATGCTATGCTCCAACTCAAGACAAGCCTGTTTAATAAACTGACAAATGTTTTATAATAAGAGCTGATAATGCAAACATACTCACTGTGAACAACCACAGAACTCTACAAATACTCTGGATAATTTTTGTACACTGAGAGTTGCTCACAGCTGAAATAATTCCTTGGTTTATACTGCCATTTGCACTGCTCTCCAGCATGTTTGAGCATTCCCCATCTGTGGTTTAATTGCAGCACTTCTGCCCAGATAAAGCTTATCTCAGCCAGTAAGGGGCAAAACACTGACAAGAGAAAAAGAATGTTCTCCCATGACCACCCTGTTGGGCAAATGTTGCTTCTTCTCTTCTGGAATGATATCTTGGTTTGTGTGGGGCCATTATTAAGAAAGAAAACATTTTTAGGAGCTTGAGGAAATAAGTTAATTTGTGGTCTTCTTCATATCTTAATTTTTATCCAAAACAGCTGAAAGTCATTAATTTAAATAATGAAACAAGTTCTCAATAATTCTCTGAAACCAGTATCTAGCAACTGTAATTCAAGATTTTATAGTTGCAAAATCAAAAGGATACAGTGCCACTTCTTCAGGAAATTCCCATGCAATGGACAAAATGAAAGTAAGAATCCAAGTTAAAGACACATCCCATCACATTTTCACATATAACATTCGTGTGCTAGTCACGGTGAATTCTAAGGGGTTTTTGAAAGAACTCAAACTATTTTAAATCATTACTAAACTCTTATCTACTTAAAGCTTTGACATAAACTTTGGAATTCCACCTGCTTTTACATATAAGGGTATAAATTATCCTACAGGAGAAAAAAGGGATTGAATAGCTGCAGGATTCTTAAGCGGCAAATGCTTCATAACAGAAATATAATGAAGAAATGTGATTCATCTATGAGCAGGAAATACATAAAATCTTTTGTCCAAAATGAATCTAAAGCTACATAATGCAGACAAAATGTCCAATGTCTGTGAAGGAATAGTCCCACCTCTGTTTTCCTGGGGCAACTGTTGGTAGAAGACAAAACCTAATGGTAGCATGAACTGGAGTTACCTATGAGTAGGATGTGCTTCATGAATCCAAGGTTCTGCTGCTTGTTAAAGTCACCGTGAACCTCATCAATATAACATTTGCTTCTCTTTTGCTATTTCATTAATTGTTTTGTTCAGTTCTTGTAAATGAAAAACACAAAAAGGGAGCTTTGAGTCATCTGTGAAGACCAAGTATAGTAAGCATAAGACATTCTGGATCTTTTGGAAGGCTATATCCAAAGATGCAATGTCCCAAGGAAAGTCATGGTAAAGATTAATGAATAATATAAGAAAAAATAGCCACCCGTGCTGAATTCCAAGAATGAACAAACTATGCCTTTGAAAAAGGGTAAGAATAAACCAGGAGCATGGTGAAGAACTGCTAGGCCTACAAAGTAGTACGAACTAAGACACTTCCTAAATGTTACATGGTAGATGAAGCATATTTTTATAGAAAATATTTTTATCAATTTTATACTAGGACTCAGTGCATAAGTATGTTTATGTCTTTCAGCATAAAAACATTTCATAAGATTTCAGTGAATCAAAGTCTCCCTTTTGCTTTAGCTGTGTATTTTTAACAATATGAAGTTATTAATCTTTGAGACTTAAAGTTTAGAACAAGGATAGTTCACTCCATTTCCTTTTCAAAATAAAAGCTCAGCTTTTGGTCCCTGATAAAATAAGCGACACATATGCCTTTTAAAAAACAGAAACTTTCACCACTGAAATAAATACTTACAAGTGGCATGAAAATCCAAACACTTCTCAGATACACACAGAAAGGAGCAACCACACTTCCTACACGGCACATCATGCTTCCACTTCCAACAGCAAGTGATCTACACATAAAATAAAAATTTTGATAAGAATTCTGGCAGATAAAGGAAACAATTAGAAATGCAGAGACACTTAAAACATCAGTAAGACATGTGTCTTTAAGCAACTCTGCTAAGAAGCTATTGCCATGCCAATGTAAATTTATACTGTAGTGAGAATCAGCTGCTTCTATAATTAAGATTAAAAATATAATCATCATTTAGCATAGAAGAAAGGATGAACAACTAGGATTTCTACTAAAGACATAAACAGTGTTTAAGAAAGCATTGAGCATTCTTCTAGTTCCACAGTGAAACCAATCAATGCACACGGAACGAAAAATAAACAAAAATTTATGGTACAGCCAAACACTAGACAACTCTGAAGCATCTGAGGAACTCATCCCATCCCAAGTCTTTCAGACCACCACCACTGATGCCAAGAGATGCTGGATCTTGTGCAGGAGCATAACAAAGGAAAGGAAATAACAGCAAAGTAATTAAAAATACATAACTGTTGAAAGTCCTTACCTTACTATTGTTGGGTACAGTTCTGCTGTGTAGAGATATATAAGGCCAAATGCCACACCTATTGAAAATTTTCCAGCCATATTTGCTAAGATAATTAATATACTGAAATCCTATAGAAAGAGAGCACGAATAAATAAATCACCAGAAAATAACACTTTTCCAAACTTAATTTGAATGCTTCAAAAGTTGTGACCCTCCTTTAAACAGTAAGCAATATTTATTGCTTGCTTTTTTTAAATCGGTTTCAGTAAGTAACTAGTATCCATATCACTTTTTACCAGTCCTGGTTCACTGAAGCCCTGGGAACATTTTACATGTGACTCCAGCAATGATAATGAAACCTGTACTGAAAATACAGAAATTTACCTTAGACTGGCTGCTGCAATTTAAAAACAGCCTTTAATCAACTATATGATTTGGAAAGAAAGACTTAAGAGCCTTTAAAATTAATTTCTACTGTAGGAACACTTTCAACAATACGTGACTAACCTGAGGTATGAACATAATTAAAACACAGATCAGTGCACTTAAAATAAGGAACGGAATGAGTGTGTTTCTCCTTCCCAGTTTGTCCATCCCAATGCAAGCAATGATATAGCAAGGCAACTCCACAGCACCTGTCAGTATGAAATTATTTCATTTTAAGTCATGATTACACATATGCATGTTATAACTCTAACCTCCACTTTCTGAGGATTAATTTAATCTAGGGGGTAATAAATAAGTGAAATCTAGAGATAGCCAGTGTGTTGGGCTAGTTTATTTGTTAACAGAAGGAAGAAAACGTGGTCTAAAATATGGTAGTGAGGGATGGAGAAGGACAAGGGAAATGGGTTTCACAGTGCTGAGCAGCTCCAGTTCTCTTTGGGGTGGAAAATTACAGAAAACAGCAAGGACATGGTTCTGCTTTTATGGCACTGGCACTTCGTTCTCTATTTGCCGCTGCTCTTCTGCTTCAGGTATTTTCACACCAACAGTGTACACGTGTCCACAAGGAATATTGCTAGTGTCACACTGACACACCTCTCAGGATTTGCCAGCTTCCACCTGGACATAGAACCGGAGCTACAGATGCCTCCCCAGCTTCAGCCCAAAATCAGCCCAGTGTAAAAGGCAAGCAAGGTCTCGCCAGGTCTCGTTTTCTGAGTCAGCTCCACAAATACAGAGAGTGAGGTTCCAGCTTACTCTCGTCTCCATTAAAAAAGAGGGCAGCTGCTTACAAACTCCCACTCTTACTCAGATTGCCTCTTCCTAATGCCTCTTTCCAGATGAAAACTTCTGCAGCTCGAAAGGAACTGGCATTTGGCCAGGACTATTCACAAACCCTGGTAAATATGATTTGCTCCCAAACAAATTATATTGAGCCTAAGCCAGTTTAGGCATGTTTTAAACCAACTTGCTCATGAAGAATGCTACTAAGTCCAATGCAAAATCAAGGAAGAACATGAGATACAGTCCTGAACAAATATGCTGTATTCCTTTACTAAACATGTATAGTATGTCAATACACCTATAATATCAGGAAAAAATCTTTTGGGCTTGTGTTGGTAAAAGCAGGTTGCAACTACTCAGTGTTTGTTAGTCTACTAAAATATTTTTGGAAGAGGTGGATATGATGATTTATGCACTGTACTCCACTGTAAACAGTTCAGTTTTCTGTGCAATACTAGCATCCACTCTTCAACACATCGGTCTACCAATACACTATAATACGTGACAACACAGACTTAATTCATGGGAGCCCCAGTCATTCTGTGTGTTTATGTAGATGAACAGTCACATTCCTTTACTGGAGAACTCAGCTGCATAAAGCAAAGCGCATGATTTAATTCTTCTCTGGCTCAGAGCTGAGTGCCTGATCTATAGTCTTCTGAAGTCAATGGAATAGTTCCACTGATTTTAACAAACTTTGGATCAGGTCTTGAATGCACTGAGCTACCTTTATTCACAATTTACATACCAGAGGAAGATTACAACCAGACCAATAAAATTAAAAGAATATTACATCTATATTAAAAATATAGTTTTGAGAAAACTAAAATTACTTTTGCTTCTGATAATTATGAATCTATTTTCTACACAGACAGACTCAATATATCATGACTGTAAGTGATTAAAGGACTGTTTTCCTAGTTTGTGCCCTTAACAGAACTGTGGGGATTTTGTGTTGCTGGTCTACTTCCCTTGGTGTTTGTGTGGATCTGCTATATGCTTGCAGGGCAAAGAGGAGACAAGCAGAATATGGTTTTACAATCACAAAGACAGAGAAGAATTTTGTACACCAACGAATTTTAAGGTTGGTTTCTTTTTTTCAGAAACAGTGAGATTTGAGGTGAATGATATTCCTCCTGTATTAGTCAACTTTATGAAGAGTTAGCAAACTTTTTGAAGAGTTAGCAAACTTTCTGAACAAGGTTCATAACTGAATGAAGAAAGCTTAAAAATTGGCTGTCAAATATACAGACATTTCTAAATGTTATGTTCTAGTTCTGTCATAAGCAGAATAGGGTACAAAAGTATTTACCTATGAGAAAGAGATTTAAATATTCATTGCCTCCTAGATTGACAGAGCTGAGGGAGAAGACGTAGTACCCCAAGCTCCCAGTGAACCAAATCAGCCAGACTGTGATGGTCCTTCTTGCAATGTCCCAGTTACAAAACAGATCTAAGATGTCGTGCTTCTTTGTTGAGGATGTGTCACTGTCACCCATTCTGCCACTGACTAGATCATCTTGTTGGACTGAGCACAGTTCAGAAACTTTGGAGGGATTCCTTACTTTATTCCATCTTGCCATTATATTAATTACTTTTTGTGCATCTTCATATCTTTCCTCTGACAGGAGCCAAAAAGGTGTTTCTGGGAGCATCCAGCAGCACAAGACAAAGGGAAGCGTCGCTATGGAGAGGAATATCTGATAGACCCACCAGGTCCGAACCAAAAATCCCACGAGTGCCACAATCATAATTCCCATAGCAAAAAAAGCATGGACATGCATAGAAGCCCAGGTTCGTGCTTTAATGCCAACAAATTCAGTCACATAAACAAAAGCCACAACCAGATAGCCACTTGAAACCTGGGGGGGTGGGAGAGAGAGAAAAGAAAAAAAAAAAAAAAAAAAGAGTGAGGTTTGTATCTATTCTCCTCGTGCAATAGCCGTAAAACCAAACAGCTAACAGTGTTCCACACTTGCGTATGCTTACTTCCCACCGCAGTGGCATGACCCACACTGACAGAAAAAAGGCCACTCTGAAAACAAATCGGCTGGGGTTCACTCAAACCTTCAGACTGCCCGGACACTGTATTTTAAAATGTGAAGTGATTTTGGATGCTTCTCTGTAGTGGGGGGAGACAGCAAGAGACACCTCAAAAAGAGTCCAATTTGAGTATGTCACTAAGCCCTTCACCTCCAAAAATCAGGCCCCTTAATGACATCACAAACTGGACACTCGGGAAAATGAGGTCCCCTGAAGAGGTTGCTACTTCTGAAAATCTTGACCTTGGTTTTAAAGTAAACTATTAATAATGTGTATGTGAAGGAACAGCAAATTTACTGAGAATTACCTTCCACCCCCTTGTAAATTATCTCATTAAGTCAAATTTTTAAAATTGGAAGAGAATCTCATACATGTGGTTATAGGTTCTCATGCATTACCTAGTGAAAGCAATTACTGGCATGTTCTGCATTATAGTATTTCTTCACTGAATATGTATATTTTATTGAATATATATATATATTTCAATTTCTCTAGCAACAGTCAAACTCTTGGTATCTCAAAACATTTCCAACACAGCTAGAAAATTCAGACTAGAAAATATTCCAGTATATTGTTTTGATTAATCAATCTTCTGGTTAAAAATATTCCAGTTAATCAGTCTCTGATTCTGAATCCACTGAACCTGATAGGAGAGCTGTGCTGATCTCAGTGGCACAGGGCTAGTGCTTTAGACCTCTATCTCACAAATCAGTCCCAGAAGGCAGTTAAAACATACAGAATTGCTCTGGTCAGAGCTTTTTGCTTTTCTATACTACCACAGCCCCTAGCATCAACTGCCAAAGGAGTCAGTAAAGGGACTCCTGTTGATCTCACTGTTCAAGGCTGAAATGCCTATGCATTCCTGTTAGGAATTCCTTCTGAGCTCTAATTAGACAAAGGGAACTCCAGGTGCAAGATCCTGTCTTGACTAATGCACTGGCAGGAATAAAATAAATTATGTGATTATTTTCAAACTTCTAACCTACTTGAAATAAGTTACTTAATTTTTCTTGTGATAGCATTCTAATGTCTTTATGAATATATTTTCTTTATGTAGTTAAAGACTACAAGTATTATACTTCTGGATGTAAAACAGTAATTTAAGATTGGTTACTACATACAAACATTGAATACGTATCTGATATTGGGTATATATCATACATATATATAAAAGTATGTGTATAAATAAACACATATACTAGAATACCTTTAAGTACAGTATAAATATATAGGTGTTAAACATGTCTACCTATGTATTTAGTATTCCAGATATAGCTTAAAAACCCAGAGATGCATGGCAGAGAAAATTTGCATCTCTCCTCCATCACTCAAAATGGTAGAGATAAAAATCGTACGTCTTATAGATTTGTTATTTTAAGAAAAATACACTCAATTTCTAACAATAAGGAGAAATGCAATGGCAGCTGTAATGCAGAATCCAGAGTTTGCTGCTCACGCTTGGTATTTAATTACCAGTCCAGCAGAGGTTGGGATGGAGGAAGTACCAAACACTGCTTCATACAGATGCTTTCTATTAATTCAAAGAGGAAAAGTGCTGTGGTCCAAGAACATTCAGACTCTCCCTGCTCTGCTGAAATAAGTGCAACAGAGGGGGCTTTAGAATAATGAAGTAGGGAAGGAAATAATAACAAAAGAGAGGTTTTCCTGAGAAGGGGTAGGAAATGACACATAAAAAGAGCCAGGGTGTACATTCTTTCTTACCATAGCAAGGAGAAAGCGCGCAATCACAAAACTGTAGTAGTCAAATGTGAAGGCCACCACAATGCCAAATACAAACTGACCAGCACTTGTGAACCATATAACACGCTGTCTTCCCAGTCTGCAAATCACAGCAATAATAAAATTATGAATAAACACACACATTCTATTAAAATACACCTGCAACTCCAGAGAGCCTATCTGGAAGTGAATCTGAAAATACTGTACTTAATACTTACACTCACCACAGTAAATCTGGTTTAATTACCTGTATTAATTTTTCAGTAATTCCAGCTTCCAAGAAAAAGGAAGCTCCTATGGACAAAACTTCCATTCCACAATTCTTGGCTGGAAACAGTGTGCAGAAGCGGGCATTACATATGCCACCTCCAGTTTAACTTCTACATAAGTAATCTGCAAATTTACTGTCTTATTTATGAGGACAATAGGTAAGACTCACTTTTTCAGATATTTTATATTAAGTTGCATTCAGTTAATAATTTCTAACAAAAGTTAGCTGTGATAACACATGCCATCTCTTGTCAAAGTAACAACCAATTAGGATAGCAATGAAAGGCTTCTGTAATATATCTTTGTCCAGTTATTAAAAATCTAATTATCTAACAAATGATCATTACATAGTTCCCCTGAATTTTCTGACTGCATCACAGCACACGTGCATGGATATACAAACAGAAATCCAGGAAGCTAGTATACCAACAGCTAAAAAAATCATGTCAAATAACAGCTTCTCAATAACAACATAGTAATTTCCAGTGTAAAAGAAGGGCATTTAGTAAAAAGGAACTTCCATTTGTTTATCTTCTTCCCGTATCTCACGGAGAAAATATACCAAGTAGAGACAGTTGTCCCTAACTAGTGAGCACATGCTATTAATAGGAAGCTCACCTGAGGAGAAAACCTAGAAATCTGCAGTAGATATACAAGACTCTATTGGGGATTCCTTATATTCTATCTACCAATGTCCTGTAGTACAAAATGCATGGAATAATTTTTCTTCCCTGATAATATTCTCTTGGACTCTTATGATCTACTGCACTGTGAACAGCTTTTTCCAGATGTGGGTATTATGTTTAGACAGAGAGTTCGAGGACTTTCAGGGCTGTGGGCTTGGTTGTCATTTTTTCTCCGTGGGTATTTGGTACTACATTAGAACAACTCGTATTTTGCTCCAACCTTGACATGGAATCATGCACATTTGGTCTCTAATCCCTGCCAGAAGATATCCCGATGAGTCCTAGATGTCGGAGCTCTTCTGTTGGAAAACCTGTTAATTGGGAATGGGGGGAACACACAAACTTATTTCCCACCAACGAGGATGTGTCAGAAAATAATAACTTTCGGATGTAAAATCTACAGTTGTAAATCCGTAACTCAGAATATGTGTATTATCTTAACTGGCTGTTCGTGGGTTTGAATTAACAGAAATGAGAACAATATGATCATAACCTTATAAATCATGCCTGAGTATTAATGAATAAAGCTATGAATGATTTAAAGGGACACAGAACAAAGGCTGGCATTATATTCTGGTTTTGTATTAAATACGGTTTTACAAAACCTTGGATCAGGAGGCAGGATTGATTCCATGTGCTCTAAAAGCCAAATTAAAAGGAGATCATCTTTGCTTTTGCATTCCCATGTTGTAACTGTCAGACTGTATCATTGTGCTAATGAAGGAAAATCAGAAAACACGCCTGGTCTCCTTTTGCTGCTTCTACTGTTAGCTGTGGGATAGAATGTCACCATCCACCTAACAGAGCTGTTAGCCAGCAAGCTCCTTTATAGAAAGAGATAAATAACACTAAACCAGCCTTCAAACCAAAACACAGGCACATAAATTGCCTGAGACAAAACCAAGCACAACAGTAGCTTAGGCGTTTGACTCTCATATGGACAGAGGGGCACAGCTGGGCGTTCTTCTGAGGTAGGAATACGTGTGTTTGTGCTGAGAAAGAAAACCAAGAGAAGCAGCAGGATATAGACGTACATCCTCAATCTCACTATTTCTTCTGAGTCCAGCTCTGAAGTTGGATCTCAGTGTGTGATATCTGAGATAACATCCAAGGAGGAAGTGTTGGAGGGGAGTGGGCTGAAGAACAGCCGTGGCACCATGAGCAAGGGACTGCTTGGGTTCAGTCCCTCCATGGACTGACTCTCCTCATGCTCAGGCAGAACTTGTTACGTGCTGGTAAATAACCAAAACTACAGCACTGCTCACTGACCACCATTTTTCCTCCTATCTGGACTAACTTTCAAGAGACTGAAGTTTAAGCTAAACATTGGACAGCAAGGCAAAATAGTGTATGGGTGTTTATTTTAAGAATGTGGGACCTGATCAAACCCTCAAAACTTTGCATCAGCCCCACAGAGATGTATTCATGACAAAGGTTAGGAAATTTGTAATTTTAAAATACGTGATTTTTAACTTTCCAGTAGGTCTTCATCTGTTTAGCATATCCAGAAATAAAAATATATGTTTCCATGAGGAATCTCTCCTTATGGAAAATGAAGTGAACTACTCCCAGGTTTTACTGTTGCTATTACTACTAACTATTGCTATCCTTTTTAAACAATAAAAAAATAATCTACAGGCAGATACTAGCTGCTCAGGGCAATTTGAGGGATCAAGGCCTAGAACAATGAATGATATAAAGTAGGAAAAAAACTCTAACAGCAAATGATTTGTGAATACACTTTAAAATTAGTACTTCCTATCAGAAAAATAAATTGAGTTAACCACATCCTTGAATAAAACAATATCCAAACCTCCTGAATTGTGAATACATAATTATGAATATACAATGAATGAAAAAAAGAAACAGGTAGATACATGTGGAGTTACTGCAGTCTGAAGCTACAATTTTCAGAGGATGTCACTTTACCTGTCAGCAATGTCACCAAAAATCACTGCTCCAATCAAGACTCCAAGCATGAATGTAGGCTGGATTAATTTTGCAAGCCATTCTCGGTCACAGACCAGATCCCATTGTGTAACAACAGTGCTCCTCCACTTTCTATCATCATAGAGAAATCCATCAGAACAAGAAAATACGGACTTGTTGCCTCTGTATTCATATGCCAGACTCAAACTGACTTCTCGTTTGGATCTGCTGCATTGATTAAGTTCCCAAATTTCTCCATTTTCCAGCTGGACTACAATGTAATTTTCTGTTGATGTCCATAGCATCCAGATGTCCTCTATACTTGATTCAGAGGAGTTGTAGAAAAGAACACTACTCACATTTCCAGGGATCCCACATACAAAGTTAGGAGTAACAGCCATGAACACAGATGCTAAGTAATGGATACCACATGACATAGCTTGAAACACAGATGCAAAATAAACACATGCTTGAAATCTGCAAAGGGAAAGAAAAAGGTTTCCTGAAGAAAAGCCCTCTATATATGAAAAAAAAATCAACATCATTATTTTGCTAGGAGCAGTAAATGGAGGCATCATTAAAGTGTCTAGTGCTTCGTTACACAGTGCTGCTTCAATATTAGCTAAGCCCTGCAAGGATCGAAAGGTGAGAAAAGATCCATAGCAGAAGTAATCTATTATCAGGAAATAAATGCTGCTCTTAGTCATGTGTTAAGTCATACACAGAGGAGACCATTTAAAAAGAAACAATTCTGAACTTAAGCACTTTGTTTGAAGCAACTTTCCACCCTCCAACTCTGTGTAGTACATCCCTTCAAAACAAGGTCCCAGATTAGTGGAATGGTTAGAAAAACCAAAATGTCGCAACCTCAGGTTCTGAGGGATAGAAATATGCACATCAAATAAAACAAACCAAACACATTACGCCCTTCATTTCACCTAACTGTATCTGTATAACTGTCTTCCACCTATCTTCCATCTCTTGTCTCCCAAAGACAAAGAGAGAATACATGTAGACACATGTAGAGGAAGATAGAATCTGAACAGTGTGAAATATTTTGTACCAAAACATAGCTGTAACCTGGGTTGGGTTTTGGCTTAAATGAGGTGTGCAGTTATCCATTACAGAATTGTATCATAAAGCAAACATGGTAAAAGAGTGTTTTATGCATAGCCTGAATTTTGGCATTTTAACAGATTTTTAAAACATGCTTGAGATGCAAGTAAATCTTAGTATTTAAATTGCACATATATTCTGAATTTCAAAAGACTTTCAATAAACTCTAGTATCACTCACTACAAATTCTAGACAGTTTCTGAAAATCTAAGCATAAGGAGTCTTTTCCTCAATTAAATGTTAAAATTACGCACATAATTAGTACAACATCTGTTCAGAAAAAACAACACGGCTTTGGTTTCTCCTCCACTTTTTATTTCCTGAAGGCTGATCAACCGCACTAATTTGAAGAAACATTAAATGAGCTTCTATACATACATCCTTACATCAGTAGGTGGTGGGCCTTGATAGTATAAAAAAAAAAAAAAAAAAAAAGCAGCTTGTTTTTAAATGATCAGAGGCTATCTCTGCTGAAGTTATAGGAAATGATGCCTAAAAACCAACTGTCTTGAAATGTCTTGTGGGAAAAATCAGAACAATGTTAATCCCTGTAACAAATGTGACTTCTAGATCACTCATCTTCAAAATGTATCTAATCTAGCCTTGAATTCCAGTAACAAAGACTGCAACAGAACCTCGCCTAGGACTTTTAAATCATTTATCATCCCAATTTCTAATTAATTTATAAATTATCTATAACCAAAGTATTTAAATAGAATTTGCTGGATACATTGTCTTAATGTCCACGTAACCTTTCCACTTACAAAGCTGGCTTGTATAATGAAACTCTGTTCACCATCCTCATTCTCTTGTGATTCTTATTTCTTTCCTTGGTAAATGTAAACCCAGTTGCCTGTCCTGTCTTTGCAATGGCATGGTTGCTGTTCAGATGCATCACTTTTTATTCCCCTTTCTCTTGACAACAGCTCTATTGACTTTTCCATAGCAGTCTGAGGAGAAGGCTGAACTGCTAAACCCACCATGGCAGCTCAAAAGCTGGCTCCACTTCCCTCTTGAAGATGCCGCAAGGCATTCCTGACACATCTGCTGTGCTGCTCTTTCCCAAAAAATCCTTGTGAGAGATATGGTCAAGAGAAATTGAACATAACCACAGCACCCCTTAAGCCTATCAATCCCCTCTCAAGAGAACAGCTTCTTGAGGACTAAGTTGCTAGCCACAAATCAAAGCAAGGCTAAAATGACTCTGAAAGGCTTTGGTCTATCTTGGACCACAAAGAAACAAAAGTTATTCTGAAACACAACCTTTGTCCCCCTATTCATGCAGAGAGATATGGTCAACAACACTTTTTAGTTCCTCTTCTCTAGTTTCATTTTAACTGTTCCCATCAAAAGATGCAAACTCATTTTTAAAATAGCAGAGCAAGACCAAATTCAACAACCCAGGCTATTGTTGCAGTATGCAGAATGACTGACATCAGGACTAGAAGACCTCTAGCAAATTAGCAAATTAAATCCCTAGAAGCTGTGCAGATACATCTTCTACTAGCTAATAGAAAGTGTCATAGGAACCAGGATCCCCAGTATTTGCAGTACCTGTCATTACACATCACTAAATTGCAGTGTCAGATAGCCCAGTTGGCATTTCACAGACAGAGGAAGAATGAAATAATTTCACACTCCCATACATTCTTCTTGAGTTTCCTAATTAGTTCTCACAGTACAAGAAATATCAGCTTCATCATTTCTCTTCTGCCCAGAGTAGCGTGAGCAGGAAAAATGTATTTATGCCCTTTCCTGCTGGAGAGGCTTGAACGAAGGTAACTTGTAAGGATATGGACTGAGAAGAGGGCATGAACCAATTCACTACATTATTTTTAAAAACTCAAATCCCAAGAGCATCACCAGGGCTATGATTTGGATCAGCTCTAGCTAATATCTGCACTAACTGCTCCCTTGAGAATTTTATCTTCTCTCTTCCTAAACACCTCTTGTGATCATACTTCAGTAACCACTTTGACAGACTGCTCCACTGTCAAATCTTTCTATTGGAAAGTTTCTCATTAAATCCAATCTCGATGTCCCCTTTTCCAGTGTAAGACTATTAGCAGCTTATAAAACATCCTTGTGCAACCTTGAATAGATCTTCCTTGTCTTTCATCACTTTGCTGTACAGAACAGTTATCCCCCTCCAGTTACTTTCCAAAATTGTATTAATTACAGTCTCTTATCCTCTCCTCATTTTTCCTTTGTGCCCTGCAGAACAGCTTTCATCTCTATAAAGGATTTATTTTAAAGAAATATCTGTGTCATGCCATATTTCACCCATCGTTCAAGGGTTTAATTTAGAACTAGATGTAACTGATCCTTGTAAAACTGTTTTTCCGTTTTCAGTGTTATGAAAATCACAAAGGAATCCACTCTAGTATCATTGTTTTTCTTACCTAATTTGCAGCACCTATGCTAAGCAAACACAAAAAGTCAAACAGAATGCCAGACACATATTAATAGACATAATTTATACTGTTTATTACTTCATTTAAGAACAGGAAAACCTGTTTTTACAGCAAAATGGCTGTGTTGTTGCAAAATCCTGCAGGATGGATTGCACTGCAGTTTTTAACCTCTAACTGCTCAATAAAAATGCCAAGGGGCAGGCAGAGGGAGCAGGAAGAGGGGAAAAGGCCTGATGTGAAGTTAGAAAAGTGTTTGGCAGCACCGGTGGCTGAAGGCATCCCATACCACACTAACAGGCTGCTCCCTTGCCCGTAAAAACTAGCTACGGCTCCCTCCAGTAAAATTCCACAGTGGGCTGGCTAAGCCTCTCTCTGTATATATACATAAAAAACACACAAAAAGTATTCTGAAAGCCCTCTTTACTGCGAAGGCAAAATTCATTGCCGCCTACGGTAGTGTTGTAACAGCATCCCCACTGATGCTAGATTGAAAAGCCCAACCTTATGAGCTGCTGAGAATCTCCTGTGGGTCAGAAGAGCTTATCTTCCAGAAAGACCAGTAGTGTAGAGGTCAGGAAGTTCATTAACTTAAGTAATTACCAAAAAGGCATTAATTAGGCCGTTAGTGACAACATACAGAAAGCATGAAAAGTATGTTGGGAGGATGATATGCGGGATGCGAGAATACTATAGATAAAGTAGATACTATAGAACTTTGCTTCCCCAAATGGCTGAACATTGAAAAGGGACAGAGCAAGTCACAGGTCCAGCCTCATGGTAGACACAGGTTTGCGGGAATAGAGATTGGGGCAGCAGAGAGTGCTGAGCGAGGAGGAACATAAAGCTGCTGCCTGCTCTATTGCTAGCCTGGGATCCCTCCCTTTGGACCTCTGGGTGCGTGAGTTTTGTCTCAGCCCTCTGGCTGTGGCCATGTGAATTCTCCTCGCCAGCCTTAAAACCCTGGGGCTGCTTCTCATCCCGTGCTCGTGTGAAGGCCGAGCAGCTTCTCCTCTTTGCAGGAGGACTTGGTACTGGGGGAGCCTGGAGCAGCCCCTGCAGCAGCCCCTGCAGCAGGCCGTGCTGGGGGTCACAGCAGAACATAGACAAGTCACAGACTTCACTGACCCTGAGGCACGGGGTAAAGTCTATGATGTCCTTGCTACCTACTGTAAATTATTAACTTTTTTTCCTGAATTCTTAATTTAAGAACACCAGACTGATAAGGAACTCCTTTATTACTAAGCTTAAATATCTCTATTGCAGGCAAACATGCAATATAATCCTTTTAGTAACCTCACCAAACTCCATTTTAAAAGTTAAATTTCCATGAATAAAGACATACTGATGCTCATGCATCAAAATTTTGGTAAGAAAATACCATCATCTCAGAAAGGACAGGTTTTGGTAAGGGTACTTTATATGCCAGTTATCTTCACATACACACATCAGATTACATATTATTATTGCAAACAGTAGTTTCTAATAACCTATTTTACAGATTTTTTCCTTTTTAAAAAACAGAGACTTTTTGCATTTTTAAAGATCTGTGAACATGATGACTATCCTAAAAGATATGATAATCTCTCAGTGTTTTTCTTGCCATGGGAGTTGCCATGGGACTTGCAATGGGAGATAATTATTTGGCAAGTACATTTCATCACTCTTGCCAGGAGTGTCAAATATAGGAGTCAAGAAGACTTTGTAGGTTACCGCTTCAGTATGGAGATGCTTAATGAATGCCAGAAGTCAAATGAGCATAAAACTGTCTTCACAAAAGCTTGAGCAAGACACAACATGAAAATGTTCCAGTCTTTCTTAAAAGATTTCTGTGAAATGTCTCCCCAGTTATTATTTTTTTCAGTTTACAGTTTATGGTAAAAAAGACTTTTAAATTTTCTAACTCCTCTGTACAAGTTTTAAGATCTCACCAGTAAGAAAAGCAACTGCT